TTGACATTCTCATGCCATACACCCTGTGTTTAAGAGTTGGTTTTGTTGGTCATCCTGCCTCTGTTGTAGTGTCACATCTCATTAGTCTGATGGCTCACACATAATGGGGTCAGGTGTCTACAGAGAGCGTGAGTGTGGAAGGACACTGGCATGAGAACACAGAGGTCCTGTCCTAGATGGATGCCCTGGATAAACATGATGTGCAGTGTATCTCTGCAGGGATAATGCTAATGGCAAGACAGTAGAGAAACCCAATCCATGTTATTCCTCTCTCTGAAGGGTAGGCAACACAAACAAAGCCAGAGGATGGGTGGCGTGAATACTGAGGTTAATTTCTCTACCCATGCCAATCACATCCAGTCTTGCCTTCGTCCATGGGTTGGGTCTGCTGTGTGAAGTGTTGGAAATGAAAGCAAATAGAGAAGCCTTTCAGGTCCTTGAGCAATGAGGGTTGGAGGCATTCATAGAGTACATCCCTACTGCAGAGTCATAAATTGGTTGTATCCTCTTGGGGTTTTATGAGAAGATCCAGTGTCTCTAGGTGAACTGTGGTTCTTCAGGACTCTAAACTCAACAGCCCAAGGAGCTTTTCACTAAGGAATCATCCTTAGCAATGCTGTCCATTGGTTCCATCAAGAAAAAGTCTAGCCATTCCTGTGAGATCAACTCAAAAAAAAAAAAATCAGTAGCCCTCCTATACACAAATGATAAAGAAGTGGAGAGAGAAATCAGAGAAACATTACCTTTTACGATAGCCACAGATACTGTAAAATATCTTGGGGGAACACTAACCAAGGAAGTGAAAGATCTATTTGACAAGAACTTTAAGTCTTTGAAGAAAGAAATTGAAGAGGATACCAGGAAATGGAAGGATCTCCCATGCTCTTGGATTGGGAGGATCAACATAGTAAAAATAGCAATTCTACCAAAGGCAATCCCCATCAAAGTTCTTCACAGACCTTGAGAGCACAACAATCCACTTTATATGGAAAAGCAAAAAACCCAGGATAGCCAAAACAATCCTATACAATAAAGGAACTTCTGGAGGCATTACCACCCCTGACTTCAAACTCTATTACAGAGCTACAGTAATGAAAACAGCTTGTATTGGCATAAAAACAGAGATGTAGACCAATGGAATTGAATTGAAGACCCGGATACTAATTCACAAACCTAAGAACACCTGATATTTAACAAAGGAGCTAAAACTTTACAATGGAATAAAGAAAGTATCTTTAACAAATGATACTGGCATAACTGGATGCCAACCTGTAGAAGAATGAAAATAGATCCATATCTATCACCATGCACAAATCTCAAGTCCAAATGGATTAAAGACCTCAATATAAATCTGACCACACTGAACCTGATAGAAGAGAAAGTGGGAAGTAGCCTGCAATACATGGGCACAGAAGACCACTTCCTATGTATAACCCCAGTAGCACAGACAATAAGAGCAAAGATAATGCATGGGACCTCCTGAAACTGAGAAGCTTATGTAAAGCAAAGGACACATTCATTAAGAAAAAAGGTAACCTACTGAATGGGATAAGATCTTCACCAACCCACAATCAGACAAAGGTCTGATCTCCAAAATATGTAAAGAACTCAAGAAACTAGATATTAAAATTCTAAATAACCCAATTAAAAATGTGGTACTGAAATGAACAGAGAATTCTCAACAGAAGAAGTTCAAATGGCCAAAAGATACTTAAGGTCATGTTCAACTTCCTTAGTGATCATGGAAATGCAAATCAAACAACTTTGAGATATAACTTTATACCTGCCAGAATGGCTAAATTCAAAAACACTAATGATAACCTATGCTGGAAAGGATGTGGAGTAAGGGGAACACTCATCCATTGCTGTTGTGAATGCAAACTTGTACAAACACTTTGGAAGTCAGTGTGGTGGTTTCTCAGAAAATTGGGAGTCAACCTAACTCAAGATCCAACAATACCACTCTTGGGAATATACCCAAGATATGCCCAATCATACTACAAAAGCATTTGTTCAACTATGTTCATAGCAGCATTAGTTGTCATAGCCAGAACCCGGAAACAACCTAGATGCCCCTCAATGGAAGAATGGATAAAGAAAGTGTCACACATCTACACATTAGAGTACTACTCTGAGGTAAAAAAAACAATGACATCTTGCAAATGGATGCAAATGGATAGAAATAGAAAACAGTATCCTGAGTGAGATAATCCAGACCCAAAAATATGAATATGGTATGTATTCACTCATTAGTCGATTCTAGCCATAAACAAAGACATTGAGCCTATAGTTTGTGATCCTAGAAAACCTAAGTAATAAGGTGAAACCAAAGAAAAACATATATAGATCCTTTTTGAAATTGGAAGCAGACAAGATTACCAGGCAAAAGTTGGGAGCATTGGGGTGGGGGTGGGGTGGGGGGAAGTGGAGAGGGAGAGAGAGAAGAGGAGGAGTGGGGATAGCTTGTTGGAGTGGATGGTTGAGATGGAGGAAGGGCAGATATGGGATCAGAGAAGAAGATATCTAAATTAAGGAATCATTATAGGTTTGGCAAGAGGCGTGGCTCTAGAGGGGCTCCCAGGTGTCCACAGGGATGTCCTCAGCTAGGTCCTTGGGCAGTAGAGGAGAGGGTGCCTGAACTGGCCTTGTCCCATAGTCACATTGATGACTATCTTCAATATCACCATAAAACCTTCATCTGGTGATGGATGGAGATAGAGACAGAGACCCACATTGGAGCCCTGGACAGAGCTCCCAAGGTACAGTTGATGGGCAGAAGGAGGGAAATATGAGCAAGAAAGTCAGGACCCCGTGGGGTTGGTCCACCCACTGAGACAGTGTGCCTGATCTAATGGGAGCTCACCAAAGCTAGCTGGACTGGGACTGAACGAGCATGGGATCAAACTCTGAATGTGAATGACAATGAGGGCTGACTGAGAAGCCCATGATAATGGCACTGGGATTTATCTCTACTGCATGTACTGGCTTTTTGGAATCCTAGTCTTTTAGGATGCATACTTTCAAAGGCCTGGATAGAGGGGGGGAGGGCCTTGAATCTCCCTCAGGGCAGGGTACCCTGCCCTCTCTTAAGACTAGAGGGGGAGTGGGCAGAGTAGTGGGGGAGAAGGGAGAGAAGGGGAAGAAGTGGAAATTTTTAAAGGTATTATTTATAAAACAATGAATTTTAAAAAAAAAGAGTGGAAAAAATGGGGGGCAACCATGAGGCAAAACACTACAACTCTGTCCCCCTGATCCATTTGTGTGATGTATGAGCCTCTGTGTAATTCACACTTCTGTAAGCACATTGGTCTTGTCGTCCATGTGAGGCATCTCTGGAGGTATTCTGCATGTGTCCCGTGAGTGGAGGATTTTCTTGCAATTTCTTCCCTTGGCATTGGATCACCAAAGGAACAGTGATTAAAACGTGTGGGTAAGTACACTAGATCATCCATTGGTATATGATCTTGTCACAGTGAAGTGACCTGCCCTTTCATATCAATATTCATAACAGCATTACTTCTAATCCACAGACCCCAGAGGTCAACACAGGTTGAGAAATAACATGGTGCACATTTGGAAGATAGATGTCAGCCAGTGATATTTCATGATATGTTCTGAAGGGGTAAACTCAAAAGATGGCAGCTCAGTATGGGACTCCCAAAATGTTAAATATCAAGTGAATAATGGGAGCACTACTAAGATCAGGAGCATGGCATCGTGGATTGTTTCATTGTTGGAAGTTCACACAGAGGTAGGAGGGTTGACCTTAAGTCACTTGTGCTGTTAGGAGGGGCAATGACTTTGGATAGGCTAAGAGCAGATAAAGAAGGACTGGAAGGAAGAAGGTAGTCCAGCTTAGAGATGAACTCCAAGCAGGTCAAACCTGGGGTAAGAGAGTGACCTAAGCAATTTGCAACTTGTGGGACAGTGTGGGGACAGAAATGCCTTCAAGTGGAAGGGAAGATGAGTTCGTGGTCCTTCTCCAAGTCTCATTGTTTTGAGTTTCATGAATTAATGAACTGCCTTCACACTATATCTACCTCGGTGTTCACAGAATGGCGCCGAAGCATGATTTTGGTCATGGTCCTCATGAAATCCATTCCTAATATGAGAAAGATAGAAAAAGAGTAGCTGGGGACTCAAGTACTTTTGGCTATTACTCAGATGAGACCTCACTGCCAAGGATCCAAATAAAAGAATGGGTTCATCGTGAATAAGGATGGCAAAGGACTGGAGGATATGTACCTCATGGTGGTAAGAATTCTTGCAGGGACTAAAGTAGTCTCTCGAGTAATGCCAAGGCCCGCATACCTGGAGACACCACAATGAAGAAGCAAGGCAAGTGAGAAAGCCCTAGGCCTCTGAAACCTCCAGCAAATCCCCACCAATTCACCCCAGGAACAAGACCCCAAGTCCTCATACTTCCCAAAGAATTCTACCATGGTAGATAGAGGCTTTCAATATACCTCTTTTCTGGGAGCAGTGTTTATTCAAACAGCTGGGTAGTAATGGTGAATACAGTTCTGTGGTCCATGTATTCACTGTAGAGGGACAATGTGTTTCCCCTAATCAGGGTCCTTGACATGAGAGAAATGAAGACCCTTGAGACTTGGAATTGGGTGCTTGTATAGCGTCACATTTATTCTGGCGGGGAGGGGGAGATTTCCAGGTGTCAAGACCATGGCAAATGTCATACACATTGATAGGTAGAAGACTCGAGTTTCCCGAGTGGAGAGAAGATTTGAAGACATGTTCCATAAAGAGAGGTGAAGCAGGATGTGGGGGAGCACACTTGTTGAAGAAAAGCAGCTTCTGTTGGAAGAGAAGGACAGACGTTTTGAAGTTCGACCTTGGTGTGGGTATGAGGACAGTTGCTTTACACGAGGAGCATTTGAGGCTGTAAGAGAGAAGAGCAGGGTAGGATGCTCAAGAGCATGAAGCATGAGAGAATCTCTTCCATGATTAGGAGACCCAGGGTAGCTGTTCCTCCATCAGGTGGTCTAGCAGCATTTGGACCCACAACAGCAGGGTTGGAAGCAACAGGGGCGGCAGCAGGTGGTCCTGCAGCAGGTGGTCCTGCAGCAGGTGGTCTGGCAGCAGCAGGGGACACAACAACACTGCATTGTGTCAGAGGCTGGAGGGTCTATGTGGGTTTGCAAGAAGATGGGTTGGAGTGTGGTTTGGAATTCTCTTTGCCCAGGTCTGTTTTATACCCAGCTGAGGGGCCTCCATCCCACAATTTGCTTATAAACAAACCATCAAAGGAGGCAAGACACTCTGCATGAGTAAAGATTAATTTGGAACCTAATCACGCCTTCGTACTTGGGTTGTGATAGGCATCACCAGCAACTGATGGCCTCTGAATCCAACAGGAAATGCTTTGGGGTTTCTCTGGCTTCCAAAGGAACAATCACCTGACATTTTCCTGCTCTCCACCCTGTGTTTCAGAGTTGGTTTTGTGGACATCCTGCCTTACTTGGAGTTTCACGTCTCATTAGTCTGATGGCTCACACATAATGGGTCAGGTGTCTACAGAAAGCGTGAGTGTGGAAGGACATTGGCATGAGAACACAGAGGTCTGCAGGTCCTGGCCCTGACCTAGATGGATGCCGTGGATAAACATGATGTGCAATGGAGCTCTGCTGGGATAATAATGCTGAGGACAAGGCAATAGAGAAACCAAATCAATGTGATTCCTCTCTATAAAGGGAATCCATCTCACACAAAGGCAGCATATGGTGACAGGCTAGGTCCCATGACTACCAAGGTTAATTTCCCCAACCATGTGAATGACAGACAGTCTGGTCTCAGACTTTGTTTTCAGTCAGTTATTTGTAGTATAGAAAATGAAAACAAATAGAGGAGCCTTTCAGGTCCTTGATCAATGAGTGTTGGAGGCATACATACAGTACATCCCTATTGCAGAGACATAAAGTGTATGGGTCCTCTTGGGGAAGTCCCAGATGACCTCCACCATCACTAGTTGAACTGCGGTTCTTCAAGACTTTAACCTCTACAGCCGAAGGAGTCTTTCATGAAAGAATCAACCTAAGCACAGCTGTCCATTAGTTTTATCAAGAGAGAAAGGCTAGACAGTCCTGTGAGATGCATAAATGAGGATGAGAGGGTATGTATCCCAAGATATGAATCTGGGCACTGCCCCAGCTCTGTTATGTGAAAGAAGCCATCTTAAGGAAACCAGGGCATTCTCTGCAGAATGCAGCATCTGCAAACAGTTACAAACACTGGAAGTCAAAGGAATTGCCCTTTCTCAGGAGGACTAGAAAGACTCTTGATATTGCATCTTTTTTCCCATTTCACTATATTTAATGAGAATTAAAGGGATGTTGAAATTTCTTTTTTTATTTGCAAAGCAACATATATTATTTTTATTCCATTAAAAAATTTCCACTTCTTTCATTCCTTTCATTCTCCTCCCACTCCGCTACTCACCATCCTTCCTCCTCCTACATTCTTAAGAGAGGGCAGGGTACTCTGCCCTGTGGGAATTTCAAGGCCCTTCCCCCTCCATCCAGGACTAGGAAAGTGTGCATCCAAACAGACTAGGGTCCCAAAAAGCCAGTACATGCAGTAGAAATAAATCTCATTTCTTCATCAATGGCTTCTCAGTCAGTTCCCATTGGCAGCCATATTCAGAAAGTCCAGTTTGATCACATTCTCGTTCTGTCCCAGTCAGGAGATGACATTGTGTTTGTCCGTGGAAGGATCTGTCCTCTGAGCTCTGGAGTCTGCTGGTCAGCATCACCAGGACAGGATCTCTCCAGAAAGAGATCACAGTTTTGGAGAGACCACAGCAAAAACTAGATGCAAGTCATGGGAAATCTGGAAATCCATGGCACTGGATGGACCACCTCACATCCTACATTCCAAACAAGGACAATTCCAAAGATTATCCCTTGAACTCTTGGAACCCTACAAATGGGACTCTTTGTCGGGACATCTTTATGTGCTGTAGAGCCAGCTGATTCCTGTAGAATAGATGCTTGATGCTTACAACATCCAACTCGTCCTCACAGAATGAATGCCTGGTACTGAAATGTCCTTGCAGCTCACCCTCATGCTCTTTAGGCCTTATGTCTGGACTCTATGGGAGTCAAGCACATGTGTGTACACTCGCTGCCATACATATATCTGTTTTTTAAGGGTCAAGGTATCTCTGCATAAGTGGCAGGGGCAGGATGAAGTTAAGGGATCACCAGGCAATTTAATGGACTAAGCACCTAAGTGACCTCCTCTGCCATAATTTCTTTACACTAAGAGTGGAAAGGAAAGGGACCAACCATGAGGCAAAATACCTAACCGCTGCCTCCCTGATCCATTCGTGTGAGGTTTGCTCCTCTGTCTGTATTAAACTTCTGTAGGCACAGTGGTCTTGTTGTCCACATGAGGCATCTCTGGTGGTATTCTGCATGTGTCCCGTGCATGGAGGATTTTCTTACAATCCCCTCACTTGGCATTGGATAGCCAAAAGGACAGTGATGAAAACGTGTAGGTAGTACACCAGAACTTTCATTGGAATATGATCTAGTGATAGTGAATTGACCTGCTCTTTCCTATCAATATTCATAACAGCATTACTTCTAATTAAAATGACCACGGAGGTGAACACAGGTTGCAGAAATAACAATGTGCACATTTGGAAGACAGAAGCCAACCAGCGATTTTTCACCATGTGGGTGAAGGGAAAAACTGAAAAGATGTCAGATCCATAAGGGACTCCCCAAATGTTATTAATGTGATTAATGGGAGCACTACTAAGTTAAGGAGCATGGCGTCATATATTGTTTTGTTTTTGGAAGTTCACATAGTGGTAGGAGGGTTGATCTTAAGTCACTTGTGCTGTTGGGAGGGGGAATGACTTTGGATGGACTAAGAGCAGATAAAGAAGGACAGGATGGCAAAAAGGTAATTCACCTTAGAGATGAACACCAAGCAGGTAAATCCCGGGCTGTGCAGAGAGTGGCCAAAGCAATTCGTATCTTAGGGAAAGGACAGCAATTCCTTCAAGTAGAAGGGAAGATGAGTTGATGGTCCTTCTCCAATTCTCACTTTTGGAGTTCCATGACCTAATGAATTGAATTGCCTTCACACTATATCTTCCTTGGTGTTCACAGAATGGCACTGAGTCATGATTCTGGTCATGGTCCTCATGAAATGCATTCCTAATATGAGAATGATAAAAAAAAACAGTATCTGGAGAGTCAAGTACTTTTGGGTATTTCTCAGTTGAGACCTCACTGCCAAGGAACCAAATAGAAGAATGGGTTCATCGTGAATAAGGATGGCAAAGGACTGGAAGGTATGTACCTCATGGTGGTAAGAATTCTTGCAGGGACTAAGGGATTCCCTGGAGTAATGCCACAGCCCACACATCTCGAGCCACCACAATGAAGAAGCAAGGCAAGTGAGAAATTCCAGGGCCTCTGAAACCTCCAGCAAATCCACACCTATTTACCCCAGGAACAAGATCCCAAGTCCTAATCCTTCTCAGCGAATTCTACCAGGGTAAATTGGGGCATTCAATATACCTGTCTTCTGGGGGCAGTGTTCATTCAAAACATCTGTGTGGTGATGGTGAATAGACTACTGTGGTCAGTGTATTCATGGTAAAGGGACAATGGGATTCCCCAAATCAGGCTCATTGACATGAATGAGAAATGAAGAGCAGGGAGACTTGGAGTTGTGTGCTTATATAATGTCACATTTATTTAAGGAAGGAATGATTTCCAGGTGTGAAGACCATGGCAAATGTCGTACAATTTGATAGGTAAAAGGCACAAGTTTCCCAAATGGAGAGAAGCATTCAGAGACATGTTCCATTCAGAGAGATGAAGCAGGATGTGGGGTAGCATACTTGTTGAAGAAAAGCAGCTTCAGTTTGAAGAGATGGACAGACTTTTTAAAGGGTCTAGCTGGGTGTGTGTGTGAGGACAGTTGCTCTACACGAGGATGATTTGAGGTTGAAAGAGAGAAGAGCAGGGCAGGATGCCCAAGAGCATGAAGCATGAAGGCATCTTTTCCAGGATCAGGAGTCCCTAGGAGAGCTTTTTTTTTTCAACAGGTGGTCTAGCAGCAGTTAGACCCACAACAGCAGGGTTGACAGCAGCAGGGTCGGCAGCAGGTAGTCTTGCAGCAGGTGGTCTGGCAGCAGCATGGCTGGCAGCAGCATGGGCCACAACAACACTGCATCATGTCAGAGGCTGGAGAATCTGTGTGGGTTTGCAAGAAGGTGGGTCAGAGTGTGGTTTGGAAGCCTCCTTGCCCAGGTCTGCTTTTATACCCTGCTGAGGGGCCTCCATCCCATGATTTACTCTAAACAAATAATCAAAGAGGCAAGACATATTGTGGGAGTCACGATTAATCTGGAACCTAATCACGCCTTGATATTTGTGATGTGCTTGACATAACCAGAAACCGATTGCCTCAGAGACCAATGGGAAGTCCTTTTGGATTTCTCTGGCTTGCAAGGGAACAGTCACCTGACATTCTCCTGCCCTACACCCTGTGTTTTAGAGTTGGTTTTGTGGGACATCCTGCCTCCCTTGAAGTGTCACGTCTCATTAGTGTGATGGCTCATTAGTGTTATGGTCAGTTGTCTACAGAGAGCCTGAGTGTGGAAGGACATTGTCATGAGAACACAGAGGTCTGCAGGTCCTGGCCCTGTTCTAGATGGATGCTGTGGATAAACATGAAGTGCAATGGATCTCAGCTAGGATAATGTTAATGACAAGACAGTAGAGGGAACTCTTCTCAAGCAAAGGCAGATGATGGCGACAGGCTAGGTCCCATGATTACGAAGGTTAATTTCTCCAACCACGTGGATGACAGACAGGCTGGTTTCAGACCTTGTTTTCAATCAGTTGTCGGAAGTGTAGAGAATGAAAGAAAATATAGAAGCCTTTCATGTCCTTGAGCAATGAGTGTTGGAGGCTTACATATAATACATCCCTATTGCAGAGTCATAAAGTGCATGGGTCCTTTTGGAGCGGTCCCAGATGACCTCCAGCATCTCTAGGTGATATGTGCTTCTCCAGGTCTCTAACCTCAACAGCCTAAGGAGCCAGTGAGTAAGGAATCAC